GTCCATAAAACATGAACCAAAATTAACTGCATGCTAATACAATGAAACCTGCCTCAAGCTACCTGCTAGGTTTTGCCTAGTAGAAAGTGACCTTAAAAGGTTATAAAGCTTTACTAAACATCATGGAGATTCTTAACTGCATGCTGAAAACTGACTTGCCCTTTTGTGGTGATGTGCATGTTCATGCATATTTAGCTGTCCGAATTGCTGTCTTGTAGCAGGTGGCTATAACAAGCCTGTTTGAATAACACACTAGTGATTGTGGAAGACAAAACACACACACACACATAAACTACAAATTGATCATGGACGTCAGTGTTTGGCCCTTCAGTGCTCATTAAAGGTTAGTATACTGACTGGTCATTTCACATTAACCAGGAAGAAGGTGAACATCTTAAATATATAATCCGTAAAGCAACCTTCTTGAGAAGAATCAAGCAAAAAATTACTGAGTATTTCAGGAGGGCAAAAGTATCATTGTGAAACACTCTGGAACCTTTGAATGGCTGAAAGCAATTGGTGGAATTATCAAAAGAGCTTTAGGGACTTTTAGTGGAATCTGTGCTCTTAGATGGGTCAGGCTCTTTTGAAATCACTACAAAATGCATTATGAGGCATAAAAACTATTGATTTGCAACACTGGCCTACTAAAACAATTACTTGACAGGACAAATATTTGATTTCGGAACATAGATGCTAACAAAAGTAGTATCTTAACAAATTAAATGTACATCTGTAACACCAGGATTCCCCAACAGTGGATCCAAAATAACTGACAAGGAATTCCGGGCAAGTTGAATTTGTTATTTGCTGGCATTAGAATTTGTGAATTTATTTTACATGGTATACTGCTGTGTCTGATTAGTCTGATGTTTAGATCCTGAAGTACCAAATGAGAGCATGGATTTCAATATTATTATTTGCAGTTGGTAAAATGGCTCTTGCAGAAAGCTGGATTTAAAGCCAGAGTAAGGTCACTCCCATTTGCAATGTTTTTAGTATTTTCTTCAGGACAATAAAACAAGAACTAAAAATAGGCATAGAGCACAACTTTGCAATGAACTGGAACTAAAATCCATTAAGTGACTGCACTTTTCATTTCTCTCTATACCCCTTTGCACTCCAGACCTATCCACTTCAAGAGATCCTTATTTCTGAAGCCACTTTAGCATGTAGAACTTGTGTCTATAGACAGCGCTTTTTTCAAGGAGGTTAGCTGGATGTATTTGAATAAATACAGTACACTCTAATGGTGCTATCCACTGATTTGGGAGGGGCCAATGTGTTTCAGCTCACTATTGTTTCACTGTTGCTAAAACCATCCAAACGACACACTTTCTCTTCTTAAAAGCTCAGAATCAGTTGTTTGGTAAAACTGAGTTTTATTCTACCACAGTACTTCCAGTCTGTTCAATTTTCTATAACACAACTTGTTTCCAACACAGACTGTCAAAATGTCATTCAACAACTATTGTGAACTTATCTCATTTATCACTAAAGTAACTGAATCTGAAAAATTGTTCCCACTGACTCTATGAGCCCTCCAGTCTTCTGAGTTTTCCAAGTCTAATTCTGTCATAGAACTTCATTTATTAACAATGAGGTGAATGCCAGTTGTGTACTTGATACCATCATATTACAGGTTGAATCTCTCTAGTTTGGGATCCTTGGGTCCGGATTGATGCCTAACCAGAAAATTTGCTGGGCCACAGGAAGTCAATAATGTCTAACAGTATTACCAACACTTCCATTACTTGCTGGGCTTTTAGAAGACAATAAGGGATGAATTAGAGCTCAATAGCAACATAGAACACTGAGAGCCAGGACTGGTGGTGGTAAACAAATTTTATGGGACTCTGGGAAACTTGGCCACACCCATGATAAGTAGATATCTGACTAACTAAAATAATACTGGACCACAGATGCTGCTAGACCCGAAGGACTTGAGAGGTTCAACCTGTAATACCAAACTGCAGAATCCCAGATGACAAAATATTCTTGGTCCTTCTTTAACCTACCTAGATGTATGCTGGAAGCCAAAGCTCTTAACAAAACATAGAGCTCCTGTCTCAGTTACCGCTTTGATAAATAATAGCTTTGGTGTCTAGAACAGTATTTCTTTTTCTAACTCACTATCCCGTTCATTTTTTCCAACTGTAGCAACCAGTCCTGATTCTCATACTTCAGCAGATGCTTTGCATGAGCAAAGCAAGCAGCATTTAACCCCAAATATCTACTTAAACTAACAGTAGTCTGATACCTCTCAGCCGAGTAAGCAAGATCCCCTTTAAAGACTGGGGTATGGGTGATTTAAGACAGGCTGACGAGATCAGTGTGCTAAAGCTTCAGAGAAGTAGCCGAGTTAGCCTGTAACTGGAAAAACTTAAAAAACATCAAATAGTCTAGCAGCACCTTAAAGACTAACAAAACACGTAGATGGTATCATGAGCTAATAGTGTGGTTTAACTGCTGCTCACATCTCAGAAGAAAAAAAGATGGGCCATTTGATTCTCTTTGTGTTGAATCTTCCACGCCTTACCCATTAAACAAGTGTTTCGATTCAAACTGCATGAATGGGTAGGATGTGGTGAGTCACAGCACTACTTTTAAAAATTGTTTAATAAGAGCTTGCTTTACTTAGCAAATAAGGTTGTATCTATGATGCAAAGCTGTATTGTCCCAAGGGAAGCTTTGGGAGGGATTGTGCTTTGAGTACCCTCCCTCACAGAAGCACAATGGGAGCACATCAGTGGTACTATCTTTCTGTGCTTCCACCTGACATCAACCAGTGCAGTCTGTCTGGGAGCTGCCTGTCTCCATTTGGTATCTCCACCATGGAGCAGTAGCCATGACATAAGGAGGGAGGCTTCTTATGGTATCTTTTCCCCAACCCCCACTGCTCCCACCACAAAACACACACACACACACACACACAAAACTCCAACACCTTTGTGCTCTAACCAGGTATAAACTGACTCTAAGCAGTTACATGCTTGGACTTAAAGATTACAAGACGTAAAAAGTGGATGGTCCATATTCTGTTCTTAAAGAAATGGGCCAAGAGGAGCTTGAAAAGGCTTTTTACGTGCCAACCCCGGAGTTCAGGATGTGTTGTTTCTCCTGCAGCAGTTGATGACATCCTAACACCTTAAGCAGCATAGGAGCTGCATTTCTACGCTGTAACAGGGGAAGCAGAACCAAGGGCCTGAACTCAGGTCTTGGCAGGTAAGTGAAGAAGCAACTGATTTCAAGCAGCTTTGTTTGAAAGTGTCTATCTTTGTAATGTTGAAGTCTTAATATGTAATCTGCAATATTTGGGGATTTTAAATTCTGGATTTTTAAAAGCACCCTTGAGTTCACCTATAAACTCTGCCAAACTGATGATAAAAGTGATCATGCGCCTGAGTGAATCAGGGGTGGAGGGAAACCTTATTTACATTTATATTGACTCAGAGTTGGATTTCTCCTTAAGTGTGAGTGAAAGGTTTTCAATTCAGGAGAAAAGAGATAAACTTTTTTATTTAAATCTTTATACTTACTGCTACTTAAGATGATCAGGGTCACTTTGGATATTTGATATTCAAAATCTGAGCTATAATGGTTGTTTATTTTTTTCCCACTGGAGAGACTGTTCTCATGGTATATTCCAGTTGCGAAGCCTAACTTACAATCAGATTTCCCATGCAAATATTAATGTAATTCAAATTTCGCTTTCTGTAAGCATCTTCCAGTATTCAATTAGTTGTTTTTGTAAATGTTCCTGCTAGTAATTTCACTTGCTAGAATGTTCATAGAAAGCAAACGAAAGGTGAGCAAACAAACATGAAGCACGTGATTCAAAACATAACTGATATTTGCAGAATTTTTTTATATTTCCATCTAGTTTCAAAGATAATTTTTTTTTGTTTGTTTTTAAGGAACGTAGTTATTCTTATTCATTACAGAAGGCTAATGGAAGTTTTTCTATTGAAAAACCAATACATTTTATTGGTATGAAAAACTAATAGTACTTGGCATATAGACAAAATGGCTTACCACTTAATGTAGTGTAATGCCATTTAGCATATTTGCTAGGTTGGCAGTGCATTAACAATAAAAGTCGGTTTTCACAGTAATGACTCCAAGAGTCCTTGCAAATTTGGATAAAGAGGGAAGGAATACTAAGGGACAGATATATGCAAAATCTTTTAATGAAACCACAAAACATCTGAATGTGGGGAAAATCTTGTTTCTTTTCTTGTTCCTCAAAGAATTCATGAATCCCCAACATTGCTGGGGCATTTTAAAGTGCCCAATAAAATCTCTCTGGATATGTCTACATTGTACCCTTACCTCAAAATGAGCTTATTCTGAAATTTGGTGCTGTCCACACACAGCACCAAATTTCAAAATAAAGCACTATTCCAAAACGTCCCTTAACCTTTGTGGACAGAAGGTTACAGAGATGCTGGAATAGCACGCCTATTATTTTGAAATCTATTTTGAAATAACAGGCTGCTTTAAAGACGCGGAATAATTATTTTGAGATACTTCCGGCATCCCGAAATAACTCCGCAGTGTAAACATAGCCTTTTTCTCTATCTCTCTTTCCTTCCTTTCCTCTTGGAAGGATGACTGGACATCTGAAGAAATGGACTGTGCCCACAAAAGCTCATGATACCATTTACATGTTTTGTTAGTGTATAAAGTGCTACCAGACTATTTGTTGTTTTTTAAGTTTTTCCTCTAAATTTATGTCAGTCTTTGAATGCATCACTGTTAATTTGTAGTAAACTGCATATACAAATAGCATCTGTACATTCTAATGTGATTGTGGGGCATGCAAAAATGTGTGACCTACAGCTGTCTGAAAACAGGATTCAAATTTAGGAGCTAGAATTAAATCACGTTGGAAAATGTAGCCCTAAATATATACAAACCCCTTAAATTAGAGTATTGCTTTAGTCATTATTTTAAATTAACTTTCTCTAGACAAAATAAAGTGTTGTACTACATTGCAGCCTCACTGTTAGGAATGAAGATAGAGGGGACAATGCAGGAAGGCCAACACACACAACCAAAATGGAGAGTATCCAGGTCATAGAGGAATGGTAAGTTTGTCACTTTAAATTTTCCAGTATTCACAATAGTATCCAGTAAATCAAATGTCTGTATTTCTAACTTGTCTGTAAGTAGTATCAAAATCTCACTTGATTTGAAGCTTTTAGGAAGTTAGCTGATGTTCCCTGATGTACCTTTGGATAAATGGCAAAAAAATCTGATATGATGTTGAAATGTGAGTAAAGGCATTTGAAGGCCTATCTTACCTACAAAAATAACTGTTTAAATACACTTGTGAAACGTTGCTGCCCAAACACTTGTAGAGAAGAGGAACTGGAACTGGAACTGGAGAAACTGTCACGACATAACTTCTGGGCCTCCTTCCATATACACAAGTTCAAGGTTCATGCAGTTGCTACTCCAACTGTGAGTGCAACTGCTGCTATTCCAAGACAAAGGAGTGGGAGTTTTTCTCCCCTCTGCTACAATCTTTAGCATTCAGCTGAGTTATTTGGAATAGATGCTGGAGATTGGACTTTAGCCTCAATGTATTGAATTTGAGAGTCTCCTCATTATTCCCCTCTTAAATTAATATAACTCTGAGTCACAAAGCCATTTTGCTCAAATATCTTCACGAAACTGATAATGTTCGTGAAACAAGGAGTCTCCAGTTTTAGAGAAATGAGTTCATAGTTACAAAAAAGCAACTTAATGGATGAAATCAGATTGTCCTTCTCAAAGAATCCCTAAACTCTGAATAAATTCCAGACTCTCTATCCCACTTCATTTATTTCTGAAGTTCCTGAAAGTGATGTCTTGCAGACATTGCATGTATCCATGCCACAAACTCCTTTAGCTTCATTGGAGATGCTTTTTATTTTTGCCATTCTGAGAAGAGAACCCACACTTCTGTGTCCAAGAAATTATCACTGATTTACAAAATAGATATTATGGAGTTTACATTACTTAATTAAAAAGTTATACCTATTTTGCTCAGGATTACTTTCTGGGAGTATAAACATTAAATAAATTGTATATCGTGCATTGCTTGTAAAAAAAAAGGTTAATTAAATGGATTGAGCACCAGACATATGGTTGAATACTGCTCATTGTGTGGCATTTAAACTGAAAGGCTCTTGAACACTGGAACTTTGTGAAGCTTCATCTTTCAGGAAGAATTTCTGGGAATTCTGCAGAAAAGGACCTTGGGTTTACAGTGGATGAGAAGCTGGATATGCGTCAATAGTATGTCCTGTTAGGCAAGGCTAATGGCATATTGGGGTGGATTGGTAGGAGCATTGCCAGTAGATTGAGGGAAATGATTATTCCTCTTTATTCTGCACTGGTGAGGCCACATCTGGAGTATTGCATCCAATTCTGGGCCCCACATTACAGAAAGGATGTGGACGCATTGGAGAAAGTCCAGCAGAGGGCAACAAAAACTAAGGGATTTGGGCTTATTTAGTCTTCAGAAGAGAAGAGTGAGGGGGAATTTTACACCAGCCTTCAACTACCTGAATAAAGGTTTCAAAGAGAATGGACAGAGGCTGTTCTCAGTGGTGACAGATGGCAGAACAAGGAGCAGTGGTCTCAAGTTGCAATGGGGGAGGTCTAGGCTGGATATTACAAAAAAATCTATTTGACTAAAAGGGTGGTAAAGCACTGGAGTGTGGTAGAATCTCCATCCCTAGACATTTTTAAGTCCTGACTTGAAATAGCCCTGGCTGGGATGATTTAGCTAGGATTGGTCCTGCTTTTAGCAGGGGGTTGGAATCAATGACCTCCTGAGGTCTTTTTTCAACACTATGATTCCATGAAGAATGGGATGAGTACCCAGTAGTTAAAAAACTTAAACTACCTTAACTCTGAAGTTTATTATTTATGTATTTAAAAATGTAGTCTTCTGATCACTCATCCAGTACTTAAGGTATAACAAACTTGAGATAGCTAACTTCTAAAAGTAGGAGTGATTTGGTTCTCTCCTCCTACCCTGCTTCTTCTGAATAACATTTTGGCAGTAGCATCTCCTGCTACCCATCAAATCATTTTCTATCATCATTCAGATTAGTAGCACCAAATAAAGGGAAGCTTAGCCCTCCTGAGGTCTTTTTTCAACACTATGATTCCATGAAGAATGGGATGAGTACCCAGTAGTTAAAAAACTTAAACTACCTTAACTCTGAAGTTTATTATTTATGTATTTAAAAATGTAGTCTTCTGATCACTCATCCAGTACTTAAGGTATAACAAACTTGAGATAGCTAACTTCTAAAAGTAGGAGTGATTTGGTTCTCTCCTCCTACCCTGCTTCTTCTGAATAACATTTTGGCAGTAGCATCTCCTGCTACCCATCAAATCATTTTCTATCATCATTCAGATTAGTAGCACCAAATAAAGGGAAGCTTAGCAACTCTTAGGGCATGTCTAGACTATATCCCTCTGTCACCAGAGGGATGTAGTCTAGACATATCCTTAGGTACAAAACAGAGATATACACTAATTTAAAAGATATCTCAATTAATATTTTGCTACGGGCCTCCTTGTTCTTCTCAGCCCTACTAAACTAAAAAATGCAGATGCCCGTAATTGACCTAGCATCTTGAGAAACAAGCAGTGACATCAGATGTCTTCTAACCATTATCAACCATTCAGAATACAATCTCCTTTAAATACAGAGGCAGTAATTAGATTCTGCTGTGTCTATGCAGAATGTTATTTCATTCTAGAGTTTTGTGGGTAACAAATAATCCTAGCATGAAATCAATAGAAAACCAGGGTACCCTGTCTCTTGAAGTAAAATAAATATAGTTGGTGTTAGAATTATGAACATAGAAGTGAACACTGTACAAAAGGCTATAGTTAAGAATGATGCCCACTTTCATTAGTTCTTGATGACAGTATAGCTGAGTAGAATTTGGTCCAATGTATGTAAACACTGTTATAAAAATAGACGCAATATTCTAATGGTATTTTGCTTTTGCAGCCAAAACCCTACTGCAGATGAAATTATGTCTTGGGCTCAGAATTTTGACAAGATGATGAAAACACCAGCTGGTAGGAACCTTTTCAGAGAGTTTCTTCGAACGGAGTACAGTGAAGAGAACTTGCTTTTCTGGCTTGCATGTGAAGACTTAAAGAAAGAACAGAACAAGAAAGTTATTGAAGAAAAGGCGAGACTTATATATGAAGATTATATTTCTATACTTTCACCAAAAGAGGTAAAGCTAGAAATACTAAGGTTTCATTTGCTGTAATCAAGGATGACAGTCCTGCAGGTTCACATGGTGAGGTCAGAAAACATACCTGACTTGCTTGATCGGAGATTTTTCATGCTGAGGTTCCCCAGCCAATGAAAAGGGGTTGGAGGCATTCACTCCAGCTTCTCAAATCTCTGGATAGTGAAGCAAGGCTCAGTGATCACAAGGCCAGCAATGTTATGTTGGTCTCTGCCTTTTTAGTGGTTGGTCTCTGCCTTTTTAGTGGAAAGTTTCTTTAGAGTTAAGAAGTAAGCCAGGAAAGAGGAGGAGATGATCCCAATCAACAGCTGACATCCTATGTCTGGTGTTCAATAGGAAACAGAGCCATGGAAAATGTTCATGAATAATCTCGTGTAATACTTAAAAAGTTGTGTGTAGAATGATGTCCTCCTATCATTGTTGGGATTTTTTGATTGGTCTCAATATTTTTGGAGCAATGCTAGGATCATGTCAAGTACAATTAGTTCCTTTAGCTTCCCTTCACTTTGGATGAGATCCTTGGCTTTTGTAAAGCATTATAACTCTTAAATCAATGGAACTATGTTGATTTATACCAGCTAAGGAATTGGCCCTATACATTTATGCACCAGGACAGTCTCTAGAGCTAATAGCTTCCAATGTCATTATCTTGCCTTTCTTCTGTCTTGTAGTATATTGTAGTGCTTTTGAGTGATATGTCTGTCAGTATAGTAAGTTAGTAATGTTTTTCTCTTTCACTTATTAATACTCAGATGGCTTTCTAAGCCATCATATAGCTTACTGCTCTTTCCGCCTTTTAGGACTGCTCTAGCATTCTAGTTTCATCATATTTAATCATCCAAAATTGGTCACAAATTTTGTGTTCAGTGTACATAAAGTATTACATGTAGATACCTTTTAGTTTCTCCAGTTATTACTGTTGATCATAAGAGGCAAACAGGAGACCTTTTGAAACTGTTTAGGAACCTTTGGCACAATCCAGAGGCAGCCTTTTGCATATGCTGCTATGTGTTTGTCTGAACGATAGCTGTTTACAAGCAGCTCTAGTGCAACAACTGTGTAGACCAGCACTCAGTTATCCAGATTAGCTGCAGTCAACTTTGTCTGCATACTTTACAGGATCACTGAGGAAATTCTAGTCAAAATGGATTAGTTATGAAAGGTGACTCTTTTTTAAAATTCCATAAATTCAATCAGTTTTCACCAGGACACTCACCAAAAAAATATCTTCAATAATGACTACTTGATGCCAGTTTTTCTACCAAGAGAATTAATCAACGAGCTGCATAAAATGAGAGCCTAATGCTGTTAACTTCATACACTCAAAGGCAAACCACCCAAGGGAAAATAATTTAAAGCTAAGAATTTTAGGTCTAGGAAGGAGTATTACATTTTGATAAATCAGCTAATTGAGTAGTCAATGGAATTTCCATCGACTACTCGATTAGTCGATAAGGGGGGCGCTTGATATTCTACTGCACCTCTCCCTTTGAAATGTTCAACAGCCACCTACAGCCCTTGTACGTTTCAAAGGGAGAGAGGCAGCAGGCACAGGAGCCCCCTGCAGCTCTTCTGTATTTCAAAACCTTTGCCTTTGAAATGTACAAGAGCCCTGGCAGCTCCTGTACATTTCAAAGGGAGGGAAGCAGCAGGAACTGGCACCAGCAGGGAGCAAAGCAGTGTAACTTCCCCACTGCCCCTGTGGAGACAGTGCTGGAAGGGGGACCAGCTTTTAAGCCGATTCTCCCTAGCACCAGCTCATGTTCCCCCACTTGCTGCCTCTCTCTGATAGGGGAAGGGGGGAATGACTAGTGGAGTTCCTACTCAAATACCCAATAAGCATTTACTTATCAGGTAGTTGACTAGTTGCTTACATCCCTTGTCTAGGCCAGAAAAGTACAGTTTGTCAAAAGTTGAAATCGTCCCAATTAAATTTCAAGGCTGCTAATACTTCCTTCACAGCTTCTTCTTCAGTATTATAATACAAGATTCTATCCTGTCTACATCTTTAGCTATGTGTGTTGACTCACATAGTGTGTTGTGCAAGATAGGACAGAGCTCACGTCAGCCATTTATATGAAAGGACATAATAAACAAGACATAAAATATTCTACAGAGGAAAATATAACAAAGTACAGGTTGCATCTCACTGGTCCGGCATCCTTGGGACCTGAGTGGTCTGGGATGAGGGAATTTCCTGGACCAGGAAAGATCCCGACACAGGCCCCTGCTGCTCTTCACCAACACCAGCTTCTTCAGCTCTGCTGCCGGCTGGCACAGCTGCTCCAGCCCCACTGCCATAACTGCTGCTCCATCCCCACTGCTGGCATGACAGCATAAAGCCCTGGCCCCACTGCCGCAGCATCAGTTCTACTGCCGGCCAGCATGTGGTCCCTGCTCCACTGCCTTGGCCCCAGACGGCTTTCCTCTGCTGGGCTGCCATGGTCCAACCTTGCTGCCAGCCAGGCTGCTGTGGCTCTTTCCCCATTGCTGGGCTGACATGCAGCCCCATTCGGGATGTCATGGCACATCCCTCCTGCCGGGCCAGCACACACGGCTGGGTTACTGGGCCGCCTCTGTCCCACTTCTGCCACCAGGCTGCTGAGGCCCTTACTCCACTGCCACCAGCCTCGCTATGTGTGGTTCTCTCAGCAGCTGAACCTCCTGCCCTGGGGCTCTCTCATTCAGCAAATGTGGTCCTATCGGACCACGGATGTTGCCAGACGAGAGAGTCCTGGTTTAGGGAGGTGCACCTGTAATAGGAAAAACTTTCTTTCATACACAGGAATCTGATATTTGTAGTACGTCAGCATCATAATAGTGCCTGTGACTAACAAATTAGAATATAGACTGCATCTTGGGGAAGAGGAATTACTCTATACAAAGACTAAACAAATAAAGATGTATTAGACTATTATGACAATAATGCAATCACACAAGAACGGAAAAAAATTACACGGTGCTAAATGTAGCTCGTAGGGCTGCAGAGAAAACTTGAATGTCTTTATTCTACGAGTATTTGGTAGTATTTACTTAAAGATTTTATTGCAAGGAATGTACGATATTCATTCCTGTTTTTTTTTTTTTTAATGATGAACTTTTAGTGTTCCTCTCACATCAGGATGTCTGTTTCTTTTCTGTTTATATGGACTAAATTTATATGGCCAATATAATTTTAATAAGCTGACCTAAATAGCATTGGTCCATTGAAATTCATTGTCATAGCTATTAAAAAAAGGATCAAAGCCATAAAATTGTTCTTGGGTCTTCTATACCAAGGCTCTTACTTTTTTCTTCACAACTAGTACTTAGTTTCCCCCATTGCAGCTATATTTTATTTTATCTGATATGAATCTTGCAATGTCTTTCCTAGAAGTCAGAGTTCTTTACAAAAGGAATATAGGATCAGAAATTCAAGGAGAAATTGCAAAATTGATACTAAGTTAAAGATTAATACAAAATTGTCTAAAAAAGAAACTTTACGGTATCTAAAAAGTCTTGAATGGAAAAAAAATGAGACTTAAGGCTAATAGCAACAGTAGCACAACAACAAAAACAACATTTGCTAATTTGTGACTAGTAAGTATAGTATTGAAAATAAAACAAAAATAACCCCCAACAACTGTGGTACAGTAAGCAGAAAAGGTTAGAAGACTGAACAGAAACAACTAGGAATGAGCATTTCAGCCAATTAATGAGAAGGAAAAACTAAATAAAATGATCAGTGTATAATTTAATGTATATGGAGAGATCCATGCTAATGTAAGCTTCAACTCTCATGTATTTTTGCAGTGATATAATGACATATTTTTCTCATAATACTGAATATGAACTTAAAGCCCAAGGCAAATCAAGATGTGTTTGGTAGGCTCAGATTGGAATGTTGCCCATACATGTATAAAGCTGATGTTGAAGAAGATGAGTACATTAAAAATGTAATTGACAAAAGGAAACTGGGTTCTTGGTGCTTTGTAGATTTTTGTTTGTTGCTTAGATCTATGAAATACAGTAAAAACATTTATACAGAACTTTACAAGTCTGTTGTTTAACAAACATCTCTTTCTATTCCCTTCAGGTTAGTCTTGATTCTCGGGTGCGAGAAGTCATCAACAGAAACTTGTTGGATCCCAGTCCTCACATGTATGAAGATGCCCAACTTC